TTTTCATTTCGCATTGCGATTTTCATTCGCATTGCGATTTTCATTTCGCATTGCGATTTTCATTTCGCATTGCGATTTTCATTTCGCATTGCGATTTTAATTTCGCATTGCGATTCTGTCGTTGCGATTTTCATTTCGCATTGCGATTTTCATTTCGCATTGCGATTCTCTCGTTGCGATTTTCATTTCCGCATTGCGATTTTCATGTTGGGATTTTCATTTCGCGTTGCGATTGTATTTTCCGTGTTGCGATAGTCAAATGCATGCCTAATAGTGATAACAACTGAATAACAAGAGTTGGTTAAGTCAAATGGTTGGCCTGAGTCATTAATTCAACTGAAAATGTTAAAAGTTCACACATAAAATCCACATAATACAACGTTTGCATTTAAAAATCACCTAAGTTAACAGTCTCAAAAGGTGAAGCCAATCGTGATTGGGATTTTAAAGATGATTGCCTTTTGCTTGACACCATATGAGCTTTGGATTTTGATGAGGATCCATATTTTGGTAGAGGAAAAGATGATTTTGATGGCACTGGTGATCCACATGTCAACCTTGTATGACCACTTTCCTTGCACCGACTACATGTCGATCTCTTCTTCTCTTCACCCTTAGACGGTATACGATCGTGACTTTTTGGTCGGCCAGGTAGCCTTCTGTCCATGGCTGGTGGCAAACTGTTTGTAAGTCATCTGGTATGTCCCACTCAGAAGGATGTGGAATAGGGTAGACAATCTCGGCATAAGTCTGTCGATAAACTTCTGTAGTGTAGCAATCCATAGCGTATGCGCTTGAATCATCTTGGTTTAAATGAAGAGCAACTTTTATAACATGGCCACACGGATAACCAGATGTTTGCCATTTCATACAACTACACGTCTTTGCATTTAGATCGACTAGCCCATTTAAGTTATTATCCAGTACTTGAAACAAAGTGTTTGAACATGGTTCAACTCTCCATGACGTTGACTTCACAACACGTTTCGTTATCTTTTTTTCAGTCCATGGTGTAACACGATGTTCCAATGTTCCTGTAAATTTAAATAAACAATACTTAGTAAAATATAAATATGATAAGTTACGAATTCAAAGAAATAATACCTGCATGGTTTCTTTTCTTGTAGTACCACTGTTGAATAGAGGCTCGAAAAAAACTCCATTAACATAGTAATGGGTAATTTCCGGGAATGACGACTTAGAGCGTTGATTGATTCTGCACTATTAGACGTCATGAAACCATATCTTGCTCCAAGTTGATGTACTCTTGACCATCTTTCAAACCCGACATCTTCTAGTGTTTGAGCACATGAGGCAAAACACGTCTTAAACAATTATATGCTTATTGAAATCCACTTCCGATAAGCTTTTACAGCCTTCCAGTATGTCCATTTGTGCTTTTTTATACCAGCAGACCTTGATTTTAGATTTCTATACAATGAACACCACAAAGTCCATGAAAAGCATCTGGGAAACACCTTCTAACAGCGTTGTCAATTGAGTTTGCCCTATCGGATATGATTGTCAGATTGCTAATAGGACCTATGCAATCCCTAAGATGCCCCATAAACCATGTCCATGAATCAGAGGTTTCAGATTTGCCAACCCCGTAAGCTATTGGCAATATCCCATTGTTAGCATCCATGGCTACTGCTAATAAGTTTACTCCAAGGTATCGACCTTTCAAATGTGCTCCGTCAACTATAATAACTGGGCGCATGCAAGTAATAAACGAACGAATCTACAAAATAATATACACAAGAAATATAATCATTTAAATGTGAAATGCATGTAACTAACAAAAATGAGTCAACAAATTATATTGATTACTAACCGTAGCACCAATGGCGATAAACAGCAACTCAAAGCGTCCATCTCTATCTGTTTTGATATGAGTTACCGACCCAGGATTTTTCAGCTTTAAATTGTGACAATAAGCCGGCAGTTGGGCAAACGATGCTTCTGGCGACCCCCTCAACAATTCCAAGGCATAACATTTGGCTCTCCAAGCTTGAGAATATGATATATAATCTTGAACCGAGCATTCATGTCAGTCATAATTTCATGTCCCCGATATACCCTGCCATTCAAAAACATTAACTCAGCCAGAAAACCACCCAACACCTTTTTGTTTGCCTGTCTATGGTGAGGAAAAACTTGGGTTCTTGAACATGTATGTTTATCAATAAAAGTCCTAACTTGAAACATTTTGCAATCTTTTATTCTCTTTGCAATCATACGCCACGTACAGTTTTTTGTCAATCATACACCTTGTTTCGAAACGATCTTTGCTTGATTTGTTAACTTTTAGTTGATAGCCATCTTCCACACATTTCGTATAAAGCTATCTTCAAGTCTTCCTTTGTATCAAAAATCATCTTTCTTGATACGAATAACTTTTGTGTAACAATCAACTGCTTTCTTTATCAACTCTTCTTCCGGTATCTGAAGTAATTCTGGCATATTCCAGTTATACGCCCGTGGCATTTCTTTTCTTCGGGGACTTTTTCTTCTTCTTTTTCTTCTTCAGGATTATATGAATTACAGAATGGATGTTCAACATGTTCATTCACAGTCGTAACTTCCTCCTCATTATCATCAACATTACATTCTTCGGCAACGGCTGTTTCATCATCAAATTCGGGTATTGACCAATATCAATATCATTACACGCATGGTCTGTTTCTTCTTCTGAAACATCATCAAAATCCGTGTATTGACCAATATCAAAGTCCGGATATTGACCAAGACCAAATTTCGAATACTGACTAGTACTCACAATTTTTTCTGTTGGCTCATCATCGTCTAACTGGTCAATACGAAAACCGGAATTTGGTGCTGAAAGTTGATTGGGATTTGGATTAGAGAAAGGTTGTGGGTTTTGAGAAAAACTTAGTTGATTACTACCGCTACTGACCCAACAATACTACTTCTAGGTTCAACAACATACAATGTAACATCATCTTGTGAAACACTAATGTAAGCAATGAATCGTTCAACATCTTCATTGTCGGTTAACAATAAACTTTACCATTTCTCTGATAAGATAGCCTAAATCCACTTAGGGGCTCTAAATTCAATTTATTTGAAACACGTAGCATTAGAGTTTCATAAGTTAACTTTGTAAAGACAATTTTAGTTGAAGATTCATGGGTAAAGGCATATATTGTAAAACACCATGAACATTATCCCATGACCCTCCAAAACACAAATCTATCCAAACATGATCAACATTAGATGATTTCATGGTTGTAAATTAATTTACTAAACAGACGAGCTGCGAAACTAAAACCTGTTGCCGGATTGGGAAGGATGTCGTTGGATATAGGAACGGATGTCGCCGGAGAGAGTGATAGATGGAGATGGAATGAGTTGCGATTTAGGGATTTAGTTTATGATTTCAGTGTTATATACCCAAAATTTAAGTGTTGTGATTTACAGATTCTCGTTGCGATTTACGGATTATCGTTGCGATTTACAGATTCTCGTTGCGATTTACGGATTATCGTTGCGATTTACGGATACGCGTTGCGATTTACGGATTATCGTTGCGATTTACGGATACGCGTTGCGATTTACGGATACGCATTGCGATTTACGGATACGCGTTGCGATTTACGGATACACGTTGCAGTTTACGGATACGCGTTGCGATTTACGGATACGCGTTGCGATATACGGATACGCATTGCGATTTACCCATACGCGTTGCGATTACGGATACACGTTGCGATTTACGGATACGCGTTGCGATTATGTGTTCGCGTTGCGATTTCATATTCGCGTTGCGATTATGGAAAATCGCAATGCGAATTTGTACTATCGCATCGCGATTTTCAAGAATCGCGTTGCGATTTGGAAACTGATTTGCGATTCTGGGGATCGCGTTGCGATTTTTATTTCGCGTTGCGATTTTGTTGGTCATTTTGGCAAATCCAAAAAAAGTTGGTTAAAATCGTATATTATAACTTTTTTTTGGTCACTGAGGCGATTCTCTCTTTGAAATAATCCCAAGCATAATTATTGTACTCAATGTTTTGGGCCATTTTTCCTTTTAAAACAATCAAGCATTTATGGATTTGCATACAATTGTACGTATAAATTTGCATCTTCATTCTTCATACACCATAAATAACATAATTATATACTCATTCTAAATTTGTACGTACAAATTTATAATATAAAAATAAACCCCTAAAAATATTGTTAGGCTACCATGATTATATACTTGTACGTACAAATTTGAATTTTCATTCTTCATGCACTATAGATACTCAAAACCTAGTTCATGCAAAGTGTGAACAAGAATCAATCTTCAACTGTTAAAGTCTCTTTTGACATATTAACCTTCAATATATATAAGGTTAAGATCCATTTATACCGCATAAAATATTATAATTTTATATCTTTTTAAGATCGTTAAATAAATTGAAATAGACGGTTGAGATAAACAATATCAAAAGAGAAGATATTCATAGAAAAAAATAAATAAGAAAATAATCTCAGTCGTCTATTTCTACTCTTTCAACTATCTTAGAAAATGTGTAAAACTAAAAGTTTTACATTAGGTGTAAGAAGATAATATAAACCGTTTGTTTTACTCATCAAGCGATCTTAAAAATATGTAAAACAAAATTTTACATTAAATATAGGTGCATTCTAACTCATATATAAATATATTTAATCTTTTATCGCTTCGATTAGTAAATAACATATATCAACAAATAATCATTCATGTTAAAAGAAATATTGGATCAAATAAAACTTAACGAAATGAATTTGAAAGCATCTCTAGAAGTCTTGTCTAACCAAAATGGATCAAATAAAACTTAACGAAATGAATTTGAAAGCATCTCTAGAAGTCTTGTCTAACCAAAATGCAATTACAGAATATCCAACTACAACTCAAAGGGAAAATAGGACTAAAGGAAACTCTAGTGAGATTAGAAAAGCAAGTTAACTAGAATATTATGTCATTAGAAGATTAAAACTAAGACTACTTAGAGCTTCAAAGACAAGTCGAGTTTCAACTCTTCTTGATTAGTGTTGAAAGGGTTAACACCACTACTATCCCACCAGTACCTACTCATCCCCTCGGTCGATGGACCGAACTTCCGAACACTACTTTCAAACCTAGAAGCCGTACCGTTACTTGCCGATGATCCGGTAGTAGTAAAATTCTCCATCGTAAGATGGCCGATCGCCGGTGTTTGATGAATCGGCCGTCGAGACCATTCATTGTGCCCAAAAACATGTGGTGATGGTAGAAAAGTTGGCTTGTGTATCATAGAGTGGAGTTGAATCCCAAGTGACTTATTGAATGAGCCATGCAAAGGAAGCGAAGCCATGGTGGAATACCGACCGAAAGGTGCGAAAGAGGCCGGTGCACCAGCACCGATCCTTTGCTGCCCTCGTTTGGCTAGTGTCCTTTCTCGTTTATGTGCATTTTGGTGCCCACCCAAGGCCTGTGAGCTAAAGAACTTCCTTTGGCAATAGTTACATGAAAACACTCTAGGCTGATCAGTTTCATCACCTTGTTGATTCGGAGTCTCCGGCGAATCTCGATCGTCACACGGATCGACGATCTTGAAACAGTCGATGAGATTGAGTTCATGTTGTTTCAAGTCGTCTTGAACCGTGTTCGAGTCTTCTTTGCCGGAAAGACTCAGATCCAATACAAGATCATAGTTGTCATCCTCTTGGTGGATGTCTTCTTGTTGCTTGCCGAGGCCATTCGAGATCGAGTTAACGGTGGAAGATTCTGAGAGAGATGGCCCTGAAGATCTAGAAGGAGGCTCCATGGGAGGTGATCAATATGAATATGTTTTGCTTGTGAGAATATAAGTACCTGGTGGAAAAGGTGGGGTTTAAAACAAAATAGAGACAGGTGAAATATTGATGTCTATTGTAAATACAGCCTGCAACAATTCAAACCTGATATGTTTTTACAGGTACAAGGTCTTAATATTGTAAGAGAGAAATAGAGAGAGAAGAAAAAGGGTGGAAGAAGGGGAGGAGATGAAGATATGTGTTGTTTTATCAAACATTTTGGTGTATCTGCCACATACCCCATTATGTCTTTTTTTTTTTTTTGCATTTCTTGTCTTCTAGATTCACCCTTTTATGGGTATATGCAAGGCTCTAATCTTATTCGAGTAAAAGAGAATGTTATTATTTTTAGAAAATCTAAGATTATGTGTGCATTATTAACATATAAAAAATTATGAATAGTTACTATCTTAAAATCACTTAGACATCAATCTAAAGAAAAAATTTATACTGAATTGATGCTTGAATCAATCATATCATCGATTAATTAAATAAAATTTTGAAAACTAAACCCTCTTTTTTTTTTAGCTCTCACACAATATTTTACATGAATTTTAATTTTTGTCTATTGATCCAACCAATCATGGTATTAATTCTTGGTTTGTCATGCATCATTGTTTATCCATTAAAGGAACGGAATGGATGGCATTGGCATTGAATTAATAATGAAAAATACATTTGGAAATAACATGGCAATAATGGGGTAAAAGCAAATGAACTGCAAACAGACCTTTCGTCAGTTGGGTCAGGCTGGGCCTTGAATCTTAATTATTGGTAAAAATAAGACATCTGTTCTTTTAATGCCATATATTTTAAATAATATTTAATGTTTGAATTTTAACGTTATGAATTAAGTATATTGAATTAAAATAATCGTCTTAATAATAAAATATCTATAATATTTGATTCCGTCTAATCAATTAATAAATAAGATATTGATGATTATAAAAAAACTTTGAATCTAAACGAGTGAATCCACCTTTGAATAGATTTACATAAAATAAAGGCAAGTAATTGCATGTTGGTTGAACTTTGGAATATTTTCAGTAAGAAAACGAGGAACGTTATAGGTCCTTTACTGGTAAATGTTGAGGGTAAAAGAGTTGGAATTGATCATTAATGGTAAACCTAATGTGCCCCCCCAAAAGGCACTTTTGTTATCAATTTACAAGTGCTAGGTCATAGTCCATAACTAAGCAATATTATGATCCAAGTTAATGCATGTATGACTAATATTAACAATAACAAGGATAATAAAAACTAATCACGAGTGTGGTCATTAGGCTTACTAACATATATGACTAATATTTGTATGTATTTCTTCAATTTTTATATTATACAAAAACTTTGATTTTTTTCAAATAAATATGAAAAATAAATAATTGTAACATAATAGATTAATTTATGAAGAGTAAAATTAAAAATAAATTCAAGGAAGCCTTGATAACATGGGGTCTACATTGAAATTCTTTTAAAAAGGTATCTCTATGAATGAACTTGCCCTTGAAAACCACATGTAGTCGGGTGAAATTTTAGTCGATGGTCCATAATATAAAAATATATGTGGATGTATATATACACCGAATGAGAGTAGATATATATATATATATTAATAATATAAATTTTTTATATGGAATAGACAAAAATAACATTTTTGAGTTAACACAATCTTACTAATATCAAAAAAATTTATTCTTTAGTTAGATGTTTATGCTGTTAATATTAGACGTTATGTTGCTTTGGTCGGGTCGAGCTGTGCATTTTATTATTTTCCTCTTGTTTAATTGTTGTTATCGGGGTGTAATTCAATACTTATTTTTATGTTCAACTTCATGGAAGCATTGATTAACATTGATTAATTTATATATATTTTTTATTAATAATTTATTTTTATATTTCCTAAAATTTTACAAGTTTATTTCTCTTTAAAATTATATATATTCGTCCCTGATATAAACTGTGGTATACATCCCTATATATATAAATCCAAATTAAGTGAAGTGAGACAAAATTGTAATCTTCTTTGATAAAAATGCCTGAAGTTGACATCACAACTTGAGTCATAACTCTGAATTTTTTTTCTTCAGGAAACGTGACTTTACAAGTCTGTAATTAAACTTCAATGCAGAAATAAATAAACATTTCTTAGTAAGAAATAACTCCATCCTACACCTTCAAGCCTATATAGCTGCCACAATTAATTAAAATATACCTAAATCTACTAACCAAAATACAGTAGGTAATGATAATTTAAATACTTTCAGGTATATCAAATTTATTATCGTTTTATAATTCATAATTTTTTGCTAGAAATGATAATAAAAAAGATTAAAAAATAAAAATTGTTAAATCTATCATCGCTCTAGAATCGACACGCTTTACTTTATTATTTATTCAACTATGCTATAAAAATATAATTTTGAAAACCAATAAAGAACAAAATCTATTGACCAAAAGACAATGAGAAATAGGAAAGGCAATGATAATTAAAGTTAAAAAATACTTTCCGGTAGGATAAATAATTCATGAACATAAATACTTTGAAAACCAACATGGTTGTAATGTCATGTAGTTGAATGTTTGAACTAAAACTATTATGTGAAAACATTTGATAAAATTATGGTAAATTACTTATTTAGTTATTAAATTGATAGAATTTTTATATATGAAGGGTTAAATTTGTTGAAATATTTCTAATTAGAATCGAATTAATTGAATGTACAAATTTTAAGACTAAGATTATTATTATATCAGACACGTCATCATATTCGATAAATTTTAAATAGCAAATGATTTGATTGACACCGAAATGGTACAATAGTGGCCTAATTGACAAATTATGTAGGGTGTTCTTTTGTTTATGTGGCGACCTTTCCCAGCACAATTTCTAACATTTTGATAGTATTCAAGATCAAATTTAAAGAAGTGAAAAATAATAAGTTAAAGAGTCAAAAAAAAAAACAAGTGTACAGATTTTATCCAAAAATATGTTCATGGTACATGTTAAAGACATGTAATTACACGAGCACGAGTCGAACGACGACAATGACACACGTGTATAAACCTTATCTTCAACCACTTATTAAATGTATGTTTAAAAGGATATATATAAAAGATGTGTGATTTAAAAATCTCATGGTTAAGACTCATTGATTCAAACATATAAAGCCAAAGATAATTTTAGATACTATGATCCCAAATATTTCAAAATCAATAAGTTTTGATCATGAGATTCTCAAATCTCACGTTGTTTAGATATGATTTTTTTTAAGTGTTTAAATATAATTTTCTAAACATGTATATTTTAAGTAATTGAAGATAAAGTCTATAAACGTGTGTTACCACTGTCATTTGACTTGTATCTATGCAATTATATGTCTTTAACATATACTACACATATTTATTTTTTGGATAAATTTTTTAAAAAAATCCAAATATCACAAGGAAAAAGCATAACTTATAAAAGTATACAACAACATCAATACTAACTTAACTAATGAACACATTGAGTGGTTTAAGTGGTTAAAGAGAGTGTTATTATTCCTTGAAGTATTGAGTTCAAAGAGCTATGCCTGTAGGGTGTACAAAGATTATGAACGGATATTATCTTGTAAATATCATAAATTAATTTAAAAAGAGAACTCAACTAATATCAACATATTGTTGTGAAATTCGGGTTAATTTCCACCAATAACAGATTCACCTTGAAAACTATTATCTAGGTGACTAGTGTGAAAACGATTGTACTAAAAATCACCCCAAGGTAGATTCCCAGGAAAGAGGAGGGGTCACAATGGTCCCTCTTAAAACCCACTTTCCTTAGACAGAACTACCAAGACAAGTAATTTTAATAGGACAATAATTGACAACAACTATACCCGACAATAGCTATTAAATAGACATAAAAGAGAACACCAACATATTTCACTAATAGAGGAAATATTACAAAGAGAGAAAGAATACAAATAGCCTTTAAAATAGAAGAAGGCTTATATTTGTGGGATGATTAACTAAGGAGGAGGAGGGCTTTATTTATAACAAAAGAATTTCCCCTCCTTATACACAACCAATGTGGGACTTTTGCCAAAAAACCAAAATCTCCACCTTGGCAAATTCCACACATCTCTAAAAAAAACAATCTTTTAATTTGTAACAATATTGACCAAATCTAAACAATGTTTAAACTTGACCGCAGTTACCACTTTTGTCAACATATCAGCAGGATTCTCAGTGGTCCGAATCTTCTGGATTATGACTCCACCTTCTTCTAGAATCTCTCGTACAAAGTGATATCGAACATCGATGTGCTTCGTCCTTGCATGGTAAACCTGGTTCTTTGCTAAATGAATAGCACTCTGACTGTCACAGTGCACTTTGATGTGCTTTTGTTCCATTCCCAATTCACCAAGCAACCCTTGAAGCCAAATTGCCTCCTTCATAGCCTCTGTAACTGCCATATACTCTGCCTCTGTAGTAGACAAAGCCACTGTTGACTGTAAGGTGGACTTCCAACTGACTGGTGCCTTTGCAAATGTAAACACATAACCAGTAGTTGATCGACGCTTGTCCAAATCACCTGCATAGTCTGAATCACAATACCCAACTACACACTGACCATCTTGTTTGTCCTGCTGAAAGACCAAACCAACATCTACGGTGTTCAGAATATACCGCAGAATCCATTTCACAGCTTGCCAATGCTCCTTTCCAGGATCATGCATATACCTGCTCACAACCCCAATTGCCTGTGAAATATCGGGTCTCGTACACACCATTGCATACATCAAGCTACCAACAGCACTTGCATACGGAACCTTTGACATGTATTCCCGTTCTGCATCATCCTTAGGTGACATGGATGCACCGAGCTTGAAATGAGGAGCAAGAGGTGTACTAATTGGTTTTGACATCTCATTTATGCCAAAACGTTTTAGTACCTTCCTCAGATATTCTTTCTGAGACAAACAAAGCCTCCCCAATTTCTTATCCCTTGATATCTCCATGCCTAGAATCTTCTTAGCTTCACCAAGATCCTTCATCTCAAACTCCCTGTTCAATTGAGTCTTTAGTTTCGCAATTTCTGTCTGACTCCTGGAAGCTATCAGCATATCATCAACATAAAGAAGAAGATATATAGGATCCGTCTTCTAGCTCGCGTAAAT